GATAGATAGATAGATAGATAGATAGATAGATAGATAGATAGATAGATAGATAGATAGATAGATAGATAGATAGATAGATAGATAGATAAACAACTTTGTTAATCCTAAAATGGAGGAAACTCTGTTGGCATTGTGAAGATGGTGGATCTTCAAGCCCTCCTCCTCCTCACATATCACCTCACCTGTTGGTGGTTTTCACTGATGAGCTCCACCTGAACTTCTGGTCTTTGCTGATGCATCTCTCTGTTATGGTAAAGTACTGAAGCCACCAAGCAAAGTTTAAGAAAAGTATTATAGTTACTTACCTTTTGATATCATTTTGGGGTTCCACCGCCACCCCGAAGTCCCCCCTGCTGGGGGTCGCCATTGGAAACTCTGCCACAGGACAAAGCCCAACAAGGTTTTCACTGTTTGGGTGTCTCATTGCCTCATGCCACTCTGCCCGAACATTTGTTTACTCACCTTTGGATTTACAATCCTCCTGAAGCCTCCTCATCTACAAGAACCTATAAGAAAAAGTAAAGTTTATTTTGCATCGCAGTATTCATCATCTACTTCTCAAAGACGTTGTGGACTTACCTTGGACTCTTCTCCTTTTTTCAGACAGATGAGCACTGCTGCTCCTGTAAATAAAAACACTTACCTTTTTGTAATACTTGTCCTGTGTCTTCAGTACCATCAGTCTGACATTTTTGAGTCTTATGTCAGTCATAGGAATAGATTATTACAGGTTCTGCTGGTGTTGTTGTTGTTGTTGTTGTTGTTACAGGTCTCTCTTGTAAATGAGACTGTCTCACTGACATTAATTTTCTAAATACAAGTAAATTAATTAATACATTTGTTTGCTGTTTTGCAAGATAAAGTCCTAATAAACCATCATGGTTCTATAACAATAAGTTAGAATGAAAATATTTTTGTATTGATATAATTATTTTGTAACTGCTGGTTAAATTAAGCTGTGTGGGTCAGGTTGTTTAAAAAAGATTTGGAATAATAATAATTAAAAAAACAACTTCATCCAGTAAAAATTGTTCTTTGACTTCACAACACAAACGTTTATTTTTTATGGTTAAAAATGTTAATAATGTATTTATAGCTCACCATTCACTGCAGCAGCCATGTTGTCTCTCAGTCACTTCAGATAAAATCTGCAAGAATTAAAACACGAGCTTTAATAACCAAATAAAGTTATTTTAATTGTAGAAGCAAACATTTCATGAAGCTCACAGCTTGACTACATTAAGCACTGAGGAAATTTCAGACAATCTAACAGTATTTATTCTTGTTGTTGCTCGTCTCACTGTGTGGAATCAATATTTGCTGAGAGACGTGTCTCAAGTCAGGCTTGTTGTGTGAAAACTCACCTGAGCAGATGTTATCTGCTGGATCATGTTCTGTTATCTGTAAATATTCTGTATTCTACCTGCAGGAGAGAAACTCTGAGGCAGGATTTCTGTTTCTCTCATTTATGAATGTTTAAAGACAACCCCGTAAAGAATAACTTATTAACTTATTACTTACATTAATCTAGCAGGAAATTATTGAAGATCAGGTGATCAAACAGGTCACTGAGCGATTACTGAACCAATAAATGTAGATTTGTGGCTTCTGACACAGCAAAGTTAAAACATGTCTGTTGCTGATCAGACTGCTGTTCACAGAAATAAAATCACACAGTTAGACCTGAACTTTACACCAAATCTAAAACAAGTAAAACTGGTTTTTAAACAACTTTACAGTGTTGTGGTGAAACTAACTTGACTCTGTTGTTTGCAGGAAGGTTTTGCATCGTTTCACAGATCTGGATGAACTCAGCGATTAATTTACAGTTAATAAAGTTAAAATGTGTCTAAAGTAAGTTAGTGTTTCAGCTGTTTTGATTCTTTTTAAACGTAAAATAAATAAAACATGCAGGATGTTTATAAAGGTCAACTCATTTCAATCTGTCTCCAACAGAAGAGAAAGTGAAAGTAAAACAAGTCACTTCCTGAACCTATGAGGACAGGAGGAGGATTTTTCTTTATAACAAGAAAAATACATTTAATTATAAAACATGATTTATTTGATGTTAATCTGAATCAGTTTAGTGTTGTTTGTAAAAATATTTGACAGTTTTGAAGGAATGAACACGTTTGTAATGTTTGTCAAAATAAACCTGCTTCTTATGACTTCTGTGGTTTTTAATAAAATATTATCAGTAAATTCTTCAGAAGTCCTGTTTCTAACATTAGAACTCTAGAAGAACTCTTAACTCTTGTAGATATAAAATAAAACAGTTAAAAAAATGCAACTATCAAAAATCTTCCTCTTAATCACTGAAAATAATTTATTTACCACATTTTAAATCTGGGTCCTAAAGGGTTAATGCTCCAAAGGGACTGTGGCTTCACCTGTTGCATTTTCCTTTAAAGAAATAAAGTAGCTTGCAAAGGTTTCATCGCACATGTAATTACACACATATACGTCTTTCTATCTCTGTGAGGACTGTAGCAGTAACTTGGAGTGGAATGTAATGCTCCAAACTCTGGCCATCACATGACTCTGCCCATGCTTACAAAGAGAACAGTGACCTATTCATTTACCTCCAAAACCTTTGTTTATTATCTACGACTGGTAAGATAACGACAGGATGCGACAGAGACCTTCTTCTGTTTGAGTACAGTGAGAACTCTTTGATGTATTCAAACAT